TAGCTCGTCTGTGTTGGGACATTCTTTTGAACAGTGGCTGCTTTGTTTCCCTGATGTATAACTGGTCGCAGTCCTCCTGGCACTTAACAGCATATACAGCGTATACTACGTTACTACATTTGTTTTGTTTTTGAGCTTTCGCTTCTGCTCTGCAGCACTAGAAGCACAGCAGAGTTCTCAACAGTTAGCTGTTCTGTGACCCTGTGCGTTCTGTTCTCCCTCTCCTTCAGTCAGCTGTCGTCCCTCCATCAAGCCCAGTCGTTGAGGAGAAAGAAGCGGCGCAGTGTGTTGTCCATTTTCTCCGGCTTCCGCAAGAACCGCAACTCCACCTTCTCCGTTCAGGACTCGGAGTAAGTGAACTTTACAGGAGCTGAGAGGGGGAGGGAACGTAAGTTAACATTGAAGTGCACAGGCCGTGAGAATCAAACAGCTGGTAAATGAATCCAGCGCTGGGCATTTACATTTACGTCATTTCACATTCATAAATATTTTAGCAGAAGAAAATCTTTCCTCTGCAACTGTTTTCCCTTGCTTTTAGATTTATGGCWCTTTATACATTTTAGGTTACATAAGTTGTGCTACTGCAGTCTACAATGTGATGCCAAATAATAACAAGTCTGTGTGTATGGGGGTTGGGGGGGGTGGGTATTACTCGCACGAAAACAGATAAAAAGCACTCAGAAAGCACATTTTTGCAAACATAATTATTAGGCTTTTCTAATTGAACAAAGCAAAAGAAAATGAGTCTAAATGAGAGCTGCAGGTTGTGTTTCAGCTCACAGATGTGCTGAGAAAATCAGAAATGTTAACAGCCTTGCTATGGCGCAGAATAAAGCGTTAGATGGAGGCCAAGTTTACAGCAGTCAGAAGGAGAATAAAAGAACAGATGTTTCATCTGAAGTTCTAGCACCGAGCAATTTTATCTTGGTAAAAACAGCTGACAGAGTTTATTACAGTTTCACCTGCAGAAGGAAGTTAGAAACATATTAGGCATTTTGAAATGGGGCTCTGGAGAAAGGTTATAAACGATTAATGTCTTACCTGTTGCAGATAGTTTTTGAACAACCTCAGTTTGGAAAAATAGAGTTTGGGTTTGGGTGGACTGACTAGCTAATGGCTAGTCTATTGGTTCCCAGACTTTTTCTGCCAGGTCCCCCTTTAGATTATAAGTAAATGTAACCATTTGGGGGTCCCAGACTGAAAAATGTTAAAGACCCCGGTCTAAATCAGTGATTCTCATAGTTCAGACTTTGAACTTGCTTTGGACTAGCCTGGCCCTTGTCTTCCTATGCAGTTCCGCTCAATTCTAGTTTCCCTTCACTGCTCTATCCGGGATTTCTCCCATAGACAAGGATTTCTTTGGGAGCTTTTCATTCAGGCCAATCAGAGAACAGAACGTTGATTTTTTGTGCAGTGTCTGTTAGTTATTTTAGCATACGGCAATGGAGGAAGTGAATGAAGCCAGTCCGTGTTGATAAGGCTTCCAAATTAAATTAAATTTGTCTGACAAAGCAGCAGCTCTCATTTACACTAGTATCGTTCAGCTCGGTATATTTCTCCTCTCAGTAGGGTTGTTTACAGCTTCTTAGCTTAGCCTCCTTCACAGTGGAGCTCGCACACACACGTCGCGGCCAACAGATCTAATAGTTTTAAACTTCAGCAGAGGCCACACCTCTAGCAAGAATCACTTCTCTATAGTCGAGAGTCCAGACCCTCATACGAAGCAAAGTGAAGGACAAAGGTCTGATTTTTACCAGGTTAGCTTTGGACCAAATAAAAGGCCTTTATGGAAGCAACCCACATTTTATATTGCATTGTATTGAAACGCATTGGCATGTGGAAGTGTATTGTTTTGTGTGTGTGTGTGTGTGTGTGTGTGTGTGTGTGTGTGTGTGTGTGTGTGTGTGTGTGTGTGTGTGTGTGTGTGTGTGTGTGTGTGTG